GCCGGTCCTGCCATGACAACAAATGCAGAGTAATCATAAAAAGCTACAGGCTGATGATGATTCGTGACGCAAGCAGAGATCTCGTGACGACATACGAACAGACGGCTGTTCACAAAGATCATTGCGTAAAAGGGCTTGGAATTTGGCGCCTGATGGGGGAGGATATTTTTGCCATTTATGTATACGTTTATTTCAGGCAAGATTGAGGAAGTAATAATGATAATTAAATGCATATCACTCAAACTATTTCTTGCACTGTCGCTCATTCTCTGTCTATATCTTTAACTGCTTATCAATAAAAAATCACATAGCAAAGTTACGTACACATTTTACTCTATTTTCTCCCAACGACACAAACAGGGAGGAACCTTTGGAACCTTGCAGGATCTCGCACTGCCCACCAACACGCCCGCCTCACGCCCAAAAGGAAATGGGCTGGCCCCTCACCTTACCCTCGGCGCCCAAGCAGGGTTGCCAGAGAGTGTTTTCTCGGTCATTCTCCGACTCTATGGTTTTCTTACTTTTGCGTCTTCATTAATACTGAGGGGCATGAAGGGACCATGCGCATATCCAGTACAAAGTATTCAGGAGTGAATGATCAAAAACATCTAAAATGATTATGATAAAAAATCACTAGCAACTCAAAATGCACTTAGCGTGCCACTACGGTGCCTCCATCCTCTTGGTCTGTGTGTGTGTGTGTGTGTGTGTGTGTGTGTGTGTGTACATATATACAGCATCTCTGTCATCAGTTAGTTGATGTATTACACAGACACTAAATACACACAAGTAAAGATTCTTTTAATTTTAATGATGCAAATATTGATTTGAAATATATGTATATAAGCTAGACAGTTCATAATTTACTACAATTGATAATCTTATACAAATGTATCTCACGCACTAGCTCGAAGGATGATTCAGGAACACATCAATTTCCCAGGAACCCAAGAGGATATTCATGAAGGCAGGATTCAGTGGCCGTGGGATGCCAGTTTCTGGAAAAATAAATACAACTAGCCATTAATTTATGAACTTGCAAATATCAGTATTAGATTTTATGAATACATTCATAAATACAATTTCTTTATAATTTAGTTCAGACATTAAAAAAAACATTAAATACACATGAGCTTTCATGAGATTTTAGGAAATTATCCACATATTTTTTTCTGACTTTGTTCACCGTTATACAAATTTATAAACAAAATACATATGTGCTAATCTAAAATGCGTCTTTATGTGATAATTTAAACCAAATACATATGATTAAAAGTCGTAAAACATAATTATATTGATTACAAAGTTTTAATGTTTTGTTGCAAATTTGGTCGAGCAGCCCTCTGTACTTGACAGTGCCAGTACACACTTACTAGCTAATTTTAATAACAAACTTTATGATACCAAATATTTTAGGAGAAAGTGCAAGAAAAATAGATAAAAAAAAAACATTATACTATCTCCTTCAAAGTAGCCAATGTTGAATCCATTTCTTCGGGTCCAATGCCGAAGATGGATTCTTCTCTCACCATCTGCACAGCCAGTTCTGACAAAGAATATGACCAGTTCATAAAAGGTAAGCTAAAGAGACCACATGAAGATATTTATAACAAATAGTATTTATAGAACTTAATTTTTGAATATATAATTACATAGGATAAGTAAATGAAGTTGTTATTAACAAATAAAATCTTACGTCATGCAAATTGACCTTTTTTGCCCATCAGTCCTACCCGCGAGATCGTTATATTATTGCTACGCACGCGCGCGCGGAGCCACGTCGCCCTCTCGCTCTGACGGTGTTCCTGCGCGTGAGAAGCGAGGGAGGAAGGATTTCAGCTGCAGATCTGGTGTATTTTCTAGTCGCAAATATAACCAATATCCCTATTTAATGAAACAAGAAAGAGCAATGCTATGCACTTGTCTGTTTTCATCACAAGAATTGACCAGGCGGAAGCGGCCGTCCACAGGACTCTCCCACCGGATGATGGACGGGTTCGCCTGCGGGTCCTGCAGGAGGCTCCTCAGGAACTCCCACACCATCCCAGTCTCCTTGCGAGAAGTCTTCGGCTCTGTTAGGAACGTAATATATTCACATTCAATATATATATATATATATATATATATATATATAATATATATATATATATATATATATTCATATTCATATATATATAAATATAATATATATATATATATATATATATATTATATATATAAATATATATATATATATATATATATATAAATTTATATAATATATATATAATATATATATATATATATATATATATATATATATATACATCACATTCATATATATATATATATATATATATATATATATATATATTCACATTCATATATATATATATATATATATATATATATATATATATATATTCACATTCAATATATATATATTATATATATATATTCACATTCATATATATATATATATATATATATATATATTCACATTCATATATATATATATATA